GAGCAATTTCTCGCCTATTAAATTCCTCTGTTTTACATTACTACTTGGGACTAGACTTGCTAATGTAAAGACTTCATGAGTTCATGATTAGTCACTAAATAATTGTAATCCTCTTACAAAATATATATATATATATATATATATATATATATATATATATATATGTTTCAGAATCATACTTTGAACTTAAAACTCACATCGTTTAAATTTTAGATCTAGCTTTAATCTTTTACGCATATATTCAATTTTATGGATGAGGCCTATTTTATCATCCACACAATTGAACTCCTTTCCCAATTCTTTTCAAACCTTTCTTTCCTTTTTTTTTCTTTTTCTTTCAATCAGCTATAGGCATTTCTAGTGTTCTTATTATTTGATTTATTGTCTATATATTGTGAACATGTGCTGGAATAGGCTGTAGTTCATACATCGTTTTCCAAATCTATCCAGTTATAAATAAGTAGTTATCATGAAAAAACTGCATTAGTTATTGTAACGTACGTACTCATTAATACGGACCTAACCCTACAAGGTCTGGTCCACTTAAGTAAGTAGTATACTACTTAACTATTAGAAAAACGCATAAAATAGAAAGAGATGCTATGCTACTAATGGAATTTGAACGTTCCACCTCAACTATAAGAGGCAGAAAGCTCATTTGCTGATCTAGTTCCCAACCCCGAACCATAGCACTTATCCTTTATGCAACAATAACAATAACATATTCATTATAATATCACAAGTAATGTCTGAGAAGGGTAGTGTGTATGCAGACTTTACTCCTACTTTGTGAAGATAAAGAAATAAATTTTTTTCTCTTTCTGCCCTCTAGGCTAGCTCTTCTTAGATTCCTTTTTGTAAATTCCCATAAACCCTCTCATTAGGTTCAGGGCAATTTTTCCTTTTTAGTGCCCCCACCCTCTATTTTTGTCGTAACTGACTTTACTATTTCTTGTCTAGTAAGCTAAAAATCAAATGAGACCCCCTTTACCTTAGGTGCAGCTTTTAGTACAAGATTCCGAATCTATCTGATTAAAAAAAGAAAATGGCAACAAAATTGACTCCTACTAATAAGTATATATATAGATGAGTGAACTTTAAATATCTAAAATTCACTTGTCATGACATTTTACTTTAGCAACTTCTATGTTATTAGACATTGCTGTTGAAGTTTTCAAATTGTACTAAGTTATCACATCAGAAGTTTTCATATCATACACAGTACACCTTGAATAATGCAATTATCTTTTTTCACTTTTGTCATTTCACTTTTAAGCATTATTTGATCAAGGCAGATATATCTTGTTAAGTTGCATACTGTATTTTGACATAGATATATAGCATGTGATACAGCTCAAGTCTATCAAAATTATGAGGCAGAATTTTGGAGATGAGTTTAATGAAGTCAAATTAGTTAGTTAATTTTAGTTATATGTTGGCCGCGATAATTTCCAGATTTAGAGAATGTTTGGGAGTTTTTCGTATCAACTTTTCGTTTTTAATGATGAAAAATATAATAAGCAAATTAGAAAAGAAAGGAAAAACAGTTACTAGATCTTGTTGTGTCTTTTGACCCAAAAAACTTCCCATAATTTCATATTGATTAGCATAAAATATCAACTATTACTAATCCTAACAGTCTCTTTCTGCAAAGTATATTCTTGAAACCACAACGTAGATAGAAAATATTTACATAGTTAATATTTCTTAGTAGGATTCCACTATTAGTCACTATACTCAGGCCTAACTTTATGCACTTTGATGAAAAGGATATGATGCTTCAAGGACACCTGAGGCTTCTTTTTTTCATATTAATAAATGCACATTCCACACAATGGCAAAGTTATTGACACCCTTTGCCGGATAACTACATTAGATAATTTTTTTGTAAGTATACATACTATAAGTATGTTAAATCTTCCAGGTTTCTGTGTATTTATTTTATTTTATTTTTGTAATATTTTGACCGTTTTTTTGATGAAAATTCTGGCTCCACCACTGATTCCACAAACAACGAAGAAGAAATGGAGCATGAATTTTACATTTAAAGAAACAAAACAAGAGTAGAAGAGAGCATATATAAGCTTACTAATTAATATAGTGTAATACTTCAAACACATACCTGAGTAAAACTGCAAGGATAAAAGTAGTAACTGGAAGGCTGTTAGTAGTAGCAGCAGCCAAAGTTGCAGAAGTGTATTTAAGTGCCACTCCATAGATATTCAAGCTCAATGTAACCCTGAAAATCAAACTCGATAAGGCACAAATTCCATCATACATAAAAACTCCTAAAATTCAGATTCACAATATCATATTGCAAGAAAGTTAACTAGTAACTTACCCAAATAGAGAGAGCATAAAAATCTTGAGGCAGATCAAGAATGAGATTGGTGGTGCAGTTTTCCTACAAACAGAAAACAATAGGTCAAATTTAAAAGCTTCATATATAGTAAATAAACGCGTTCTTTCTCTGACACTTTAAATTTTCATATGAGATGGTCTCATATTTCAGCAAATACTTAATCATTTAAACTTAAAATATATTTATATTATATATATATAGGAGATAAGTGCGAGCTTCATATATTACTATAATAACAGCAATACTACTTACCTTTCAAGGAACAAGGCGATGGGAGCTAAGAAGACAGTAGCAGCAGATTGTCTATAGAAGACAAAAACAAAAGGATTCATACCAACATCAAACGCAACTTTTGAAAGCAAGAACATGCCTGTGTAGATGGCTTGTATAAATAAAATTGCTCCATATATTTTTCTATCCATTTGCTTTCTTCTTTTGGATGGTTTTTGCTACTCTCTTTAATTTGTTGCTTCTCTATTTTATTTGAACCTCTCAATCAATTCAAAACTACGAAAGATTGGGAGGAAGAGGTGGGGTTTATATAATGGTGATTGAAAGCAAAAACTACATGACTCTAATATTAGACGTGTATGAGGTTATATTGATAATGATATATAAGTTGCTTTACAATATGACCATGAGGGACCAGCAATAAAGTCTCTAAAGTTATAGGGATGCTTCTCTTTTTTCTTTTTTCCTTTTTAGCATATATAGGGTTATTTTTTATTTGGATTTTTTTTTTATAGTGAGTAGATAATTAGCAAACACTAAACACCTTTTTAGCGGGGCTTTTTAGGATCATGGATCTATCAAATAGTTATTTAATCTTGGTAAAGAAAATTGACTGAAGGATCCTTTTCCTAATTATAATTTGTTGTTTAACTTTTACCTTCAGATTGTCTCCTGAATTCTCTCTTATTATTTATATATTTATATAAGTTCAGTTCTTACTTCCTTTGCCTTACAAAAACCTGAAATAAAAAAAATTGTTGGTAGGGAGCATTTTACTCTCTTTAGGGGCTTATTCGATGGGGATTTAAATTAATTAGTCGGCTAGTTGACTGTGAATAACACACATGTTTAAGCAAAGCAGCTAGAATGAGTTTAAGTTTTATATGCTGCACTTTTTTCACACCATCTTGTTACTTTGTCTGCAATAATAGTAGACATTATTCGAAAATCTAGAAAATAGTGAAAAGATCTGCTGTAAAAGCTGGTTAATTGTATTAATGGTGTAAAAATATTATACATCGTCTATGTAATGTATGTAACTTAAATCAGAATAGAATATATCTATACTAAATTAAGGCTGAAAGGATATATAGGTATATTTATCAGACATATTTCACATAATTTGGACAAGATGTCATACTAGTTGAACTCGAGACTTGGTCATTAGTATGACAACTTCGATGACTTAAACCGAAACTTCATGAGTTAGATGCCAAAACTTGTGATCCTGGTTACGACATGTAGTTGGTAAAAATTATGAACTTTTTAATCTTTTTTTTCTTCGTCATTTTGAAAGAGTTCCATTGATTTGAATACTTTAACTCTTGAAATTATGATCTCTTAAAATGCAAGATTAGATTTGGATTTTTCACTGCAGCCTGCAGGTGTAACATGCCATGCACAATGGAACAAGATTATCATTTACTCGATTGGACTTGGTTTTTTAAATTATTAGTACTTTACTTCTACTCGAACTATACCAATTTAAAGATGCTCGCTTTTGGTTAATTGGATTCTAAGGCAAAATTATTTTATTAGTAAAAATTTAAGCAGTAACTACTTTAACAAATATTGTATAGATTACTGATTATACTCAATCTGATAAAGTGAAGATCAAAATCCTTGATTCTCCTTTCCTTTTGTGCTTACCTCCTTTCGACAAGCAATTGCACAAATAATTGGTTCCTTTTGATTTAAATTATTAAAATAGTTATAGAATAATAAGAGAGAGAGGTCAATCAAGCATTTCTCGAAAGAAGCTCCATGAGTTTTCATTTCGATAAAATATTCTGTGAGAGGAATTTCCTTTAAAATGACAATCGTCTATCTTATCTACCTCAGGCAAAATTTAATTACGAGTCCACACTGGGAATAACTAGAGATAATTATTTAAGAAAATTTCATTTATATTCCTTTAGTTTAGGACAAGAACTCTTATATAGTAATATATTTTGTGCATGTCTTTTCATGTAAAGAAACGTACCAAATTTTACGTTAGACTAATTTTCTGCCGTAAACTAAACCTTTTCCTTATGAGTTTCCTGTAATTTTTTAGTATAACTAATTGGTCGTTGGTTAGTCATAGATTCTTCTATGATAAAACGAGAAATAATAATATTAGGTTCATTGATCTTAGGATTTTTCCTATTTGTTAATGGAGAATCATAGGTCACAAACGAGGTCCATAAACTAATTAATTAATACTGCAATGTTTTAAGGAATATTAGCAACGCGGTACATAGAAAGGCTAATCAACATCTTAATAAGGCATTTAGTAGCATGATAATGATATTCGATCACTATTAGTAGATGCAATCAACGTGAGAAGTCATCCGATATAATATGATAATTAATTTTTTACTTAACTAGATCGATCCCTAGAAATTATATTTAAAAAAAGCAAATAATTTGACAAGGTTTTTCATTAATTATACCTTTTTAAAATTTCAAGAAGATACTTGTTTCTTCTATCTTATGTTTAGTGACGTGTCACGACCCGGATTTCCCACCCTCGGGAGTCGTGATGGCGCCTACTAATGAGAGCTAGGCAAGCCAAATTTATTTACTTGTCCATTAATAATCTAATTCATTTTAACAATTTACGACAATAATACAAAAGCAACGAAATTCAATAATAAGCGGAAGTCTTAACATTTTATAGAAACTGAATAGAAATGCGGAAAGTTCAACAAAATCCTCTACCCAAGACTAGTGTCACTGTACTCACGAACTGCTAAGAATACTACATACAAACGTTTGAAAGAGAACATAAGCTCTTTGTCTCGAATACAATGAGATAACAGATAAGAATAAAGGTTAGAGGAGACGCCGGGCCTGCGGACGCCTGCAATGCTACCTCGGGTCTCGCTGAAATGAAGCCTGCTCCCACACTACTGCTGCTGCTGCTCGAAACCTGGATCTGTGCAAAATAGCACAGAGTGTAGTATTAGCACAACCGACCCCATGTGCTGGTAAGTGTCTAGCCTAACCCCGGCGAAGTAGTGACGAGACTAGACTGACCACCACATAAACCTGTGCAGTTATATACATACAGCGGAATCGAAATACAAGACAAGTAAACAATATGGGAGGGAAAGCATGCTGTGGGGAGATAACAGTTTCAAATATAAATTGACTAATACGAAGGAAAAGCACAACTCATACAACAATAAAGAATAGAGATCAACAAATGCACGGCATCACCTTTCGTGCTTTTACTCTCGTCCTCACCAAGCAATAACATAACAAACGTGCACGGCATCACCCTTCGTGCTTTTACTCTCATTCCTCACATATAATCAATAGAATCGGCACGGAATGGCACATCGTGCGGCACGGCATCACCCTTCGTGCTTTACTCTCTTGTCCTCACAATAAGCAAATAATGCACGGCATCACCTTTCGTGCTTTACACTCTTTCCTCACAACAAACAATGCACGCCATCACCCTTCGTGCTTTTACTCTCGTCCTCACCCAATCAACAATCACAAACAAGGGCAAGGGAATAATAAAACAAGAATGGATGTCCCGGCAAGGGTACACAAACAAACAAATAAAAACCCGGTAAGGGTACAACATCAATAACCAACAACATCCCGGCAAGGGAATAAATCACTAACTCTTCTCTTTCTTTCACTTTCATCTCAAAGTTCACATTATCACTTGAGCCAATGCTCCAAGGAGTTACTTATCTCATATACCTTCACAATTTGTATTTCAACCCGAGCCAATGCTCCACGAAGTTCAAAGATCACAATCTCTATCACAAGATCTTTACAACATATAGAAGTCATCATTTAAGCATGGAAGGCATAACAACAACCAAACTACTCGCAAAATAAGGACTCACGGCCATGCTAGACCCCAATGTATAGATACTCGTCACCATGCCTATACATCGTACTCGACAATTAGCAAGTTACAAATAAGACTCAACTCCTATTGCCTCAAGCTAGGGTTAAACCAAACACTTACCTCGATGCTTTGAACTCAACTCAAGCCTCAACTATAGCTTTACCCCGTGATTCCACCTCCAATCCGCTCGAATCTAGTCACAAGTTACTCAATTGCTATAATAAACACTAAATGAATCAATTTGAATGCATAAAAAATGAATTTCCCAAAGTTTTCCAAAAAATTCAAAAATCGCCCCCGGGCCCACGTGGTCAAAACCCGAGGTTCGAACCAAAACCCGGTTACCCATTCCCCACGAACTCAAATATGTAATTTGTTTTGAAATCGGACCTCAAATTGAGGTCCAAATCCCCAATTTTTGAAAAATCTTGGTTCTACCCAAAACCCCCAATTTCACCCATGAAAATCCTTGATTTTAAGTGGAAAATATGTTAAATGATGTTAATGAATGAAAGAATTGAGTAAAAATTGACTTACAAACGATTTGGAATGAAACTTGTTCTTGAAAAATCGCCTAAGGAGTTGTATTTTGGAAGTGGGGTGAAAATTGGCCTAAAATTCGACTAAGTATGAAAATTGTTGGGCTGCAGATATGGGAATTGCGAACTGGGGTTGCAATTGCGAACCCCGACCAAAAGTGGGAATTGCGAACACTTGTTCGCATTTGCGAACTATGAGGAGAATTGGGGACTTCGCATTTGCGAACCATGAGGTCGCATTTGCGAAACCCCAGCCTTCGCATTTGCGAGGCTCAACTTCGCATTTGCGATGTGTTTCAGGCCTGGCAATTTCTCGCATTTGCGAGCAGACCTTCGCATTTGCGAGCTCGCATTTGCGAGCCAGGCTTCGCAATTTCGAAGCCTGCAGGTCAGTTATAGCAGCAAAATTCCCAAGGTTGATTAATGCACTCCGACACCTATCCAAAACTCACCCGAGCCCTCGGGGCTCCAAACCAAACATGCACACAACCTCAAAAATATCCTACGGACTTACTCGGGCGATCAAATCGCCAAAATAACATCATATACATTGATTTAAGCCTCAAAATCCATGATTCCTTCCAAATTTTCATAAAACATCAAATCTCCCATTTTAAGTGCAAAACATGTCAAACGACGTCCGTTTTCAACCAAACTTTACAGAAAGCGCTTAAACCATATATAAGACTTGTACCGGGCGCCGGAACCAAAATACGGGCCGGATACCATAGTCTTTTAATCAAATTTCATTTTCAATTTCCTTAATTATTTCAAGAAAATAATTTCACACAAAAATTCATTTCTCGGGCTTGGGACCTCGGAATTCGATTCCGGGCATACGCCCAAGTCCCATATTTTCCTACGGACCCTCCGGGACCGTCCAATCATGGGTCCGGGTCCGTTTACCCAAAAAGTTGACCGAAGTCAAATTTA